ATATTGTGGCCGCTTTTCTTTTAGCGCGCGACTAAGGCGCATCAGTTGCGTTCGGTAGCGATCTCCTGTGATGGTTTCACCCGGTTTTAAGAGCTCGTAGTAAATATTTGAAGGTTTTTTTCTCTTCCACCACCATGTTTGTCTTCGACATCGTAATCACCATTTTTAAAATGCTGAAACCACTCCCGACACGTTCTTTCACTCAGAGCAGCATCACCGTAAGTATCTGAGAGTATTCGATGCTCTTCAGCTGCATTTTTTTCGAATTGTAACAGAAAAGTAAAACTTCCCGCAAATGGCGAGAATAAGGCACATAAACGGACATTTTCGAGCGTGAATAATACGAAAACAATAACAACTGTCACTGAAACGGCGATGACAATTCGTTAGGCACTGTCCACACTCACTTTAAAGGCATTATCATCGATGTATTTCAACCAGCCTCAACCGGTACAGTCACCTATCGGAAAACGGCGGAAGCAAAGTTGTACACGTGATATGTCTACGGACAGTTTAAAAAAAGTGATTTCGAGAAAAACGCGTTTAAAGTTGTAGGTCGCCCGGGGCATACCTGCGAGGCACTGCCATCGAATGAAAAATTTTGGCATTTAAACATTTTTGCCGGCATCCATCTGTTGGTATGTTATTTCTAAGACCCTAAAGCACATTTTAAGACCAAAAAAAAATTCTCGATTTTTTCTAAATTCTAGACCAGCTTATCCCCTTAAAAAAATCTACCATTTTTTAGTTAAATATTTTTGGAAGAATTTTAATCTTTTTTTGTTTGTATTAAAACTTTTGTAAATTGTAAGAAAGTAAGAGAAAGGGAAGAGCCTCGTCCACCAAAATTATAATCAAGTTCAAAAATATTAGAAGCTAACTCTACTCACAGTTTTAGAGGACACAGAAATTTGTTTTAATATTTGAGAAGTGTAAACTCTTTACAGAAATCTCATAGTTAGGTTCAAAGTCAATTAAATTTTCAAACACTTTTGAACTCAATCTATCCGCTAAATATATTAATATTAGCCAGTTAGTTGTTAAATAGCTTGTTCCAGCACGCAACCCTGATTTCTTGATGATACCTCTGTTGGTTCTATGAAGAAAATTCCTCTCACCTTTCTAGATGTTCAAATCAGTTGCTGTATTTTACGAAGTGTAGGAGATTAATGATGTCCAGAGATGCAAGCCCTGCTAAGCAATCGAAGAAGAAATATCCGAAAAATCGTTAACGGACTGCACTGAGAGCTGTATAGTAGCAGTTGTTTGAGCAAAAGTTGCTTGAGAAACAGCCACTAGTCTCCACAACACAGTATCCGGTTGTTATGCTTATGGAGCTCCTGTTTAGAAGGCATATAGAAGTCATTCTGTTCACTTCGATCAATTGCACGTGGGGTCATTCTGTCATTCGCTGTTTTCCCTTCTGGTGAAGGCTGATCTTAACAAATACTTTGCCGAGGAAAGAAATAATTTTTTTTCCAGAGCTTACTAATGTTATAAATGTTCTCTATCTGGTCATCTCAGGTGTCCCGCTGACCAAGTGTTCAAACCAGAGATGTTTCACATATAGTCGAGAAAGCCTATAAGTCTATGTTTCGAAAAAAGTAATAAATGTCAACTCTTTTCATTTTATTTGTATAAAAAAGGATTTTAACAATTTCTTTTATTACATTTGCCTCCCAAGAAAAACGGTTTGAAACAAATATTCTAAGCTCTGCCAGTTGCTTGAGTACTACAAATTGTCAGAAGAAGATCGGCTGAAATTCGCTTAAGGAGTTACGAAGCGCCAAATATGTACAATATATATCAATGAGGTCACCAATTTGTCAATTTGATAGTTCCTCTCTTCGGTAGGTCCCATTCATCGGCCTCCATTGGCGTAAGCTTTGAAGGCTGTCTTCGCTGTAAGTCTTACATTCTTATGTACAGCACGTCAGAACCAGCGCAGAGGTTGTATTGTGACGCGTTGGTCAAAATCGATATCGTGGTATAGCTCGTACAGTTCGTGGTTCATTCGAGTACGATAGTAGTACCCAATACGAACCTGGCCGAAGATTTGGCGATGCATTTTTCTCTCGAATACTCGAAGCGACTCAACCCACGTTGCTGCGCCATGCCGAATCTGCTTCGCAGAAATACTAAACTCAAACATGATGGCATATATACGATCCCTTATTGGACTTTCGGATGACGTTGGGTCACTTTTAGCCAGTATAAAACAAAGTACACTGAAAAATCAGCTATCAGCTTGTCATTGCCAGCCTTGAAAAACTCCGCAGGGAGTCCGTCAGCTTCGGCTCTTTTATTGCCCTCAGTCGCATAATTACTACTCGGATTTCCTTACTATGCGCATTCCATTTCTTGATGCAGCTTGAGCTCTTCGTCTGCAATAGGTGGTGGTTTGACTCAGAGTACGCCATTTACTGGAAGAGAGTTCAGAAAGAGTTCAGATGACGAGCTATACTATATATATAGTACCCGCTGGTGGAAGCCGAGGAAGAAGAAGACCTTCACTCCGTTCGGCTCTAATCGCGTAAGCGGTACCAACGCCAATAAGGAAGAAGAAGAAGCCGTCCTGTCCAAAGCTTTTGTAGGGGTACTGAATGCAGCCCGTTAAGTCAAGTGCTGCCTTTTTGATATGACTGGGTGGTTCGGCTTCTAGTAAGTGTCTGTCGGTGTGGTCCCTACGGGAACAGTGTGAAGATAACGGCCAATATTTCTTTTGTTAGTTGTTTGGTTATCCCGGTTTTAGTTCGGGGACCATCCTATCCATTTTTCACTCGTCGGGTAGTTTTAGGTATCGAAGACAAATAGAGGATTTTTGTGGGAAAGTCTGCTTCCGATGGTCCTAGGTGTTTTATTATCAACACGCTCATTCCGTCGGTACCGATGGATTTGGAAGCTTTCGCCTTCCCAATGATGCCCTGAATCTGTTCCCTGGAGAAATCAAGCCTCGCGATGATGTTCGGCAGCTTGCGTCGACTACGCGTCACTTGTCGCCTCATTTTGTCAACCGAGGGATGTAGAGTAAGAGATCGGCTAAACTAGCTAGCGCACCTCTACGATGGTCCGACGAGACACGTTTATATGTATATAATTGGCGCTTAGTAACCGCTGAAGCGATTTCTCGGCCGAGGAGGACCTAAAGTTTATACTAAACCGCCTCCGAACGGCTGGCGGTTTTTTTTAAGAGTAGTCTTTATTTCACGTCCGAAATACACTCGGAGGGGTCGACGATCCTTGCCGAGGAGCGAGCGGATTCAATTTAACTATTTTTTTTATTTAAATTAATTTTCCATTATTGGTTGGTCGCACCGATATTTGAACTCTAGCCTTTCGAATGTCAGTACGCAATACTAACCACTCGGCTACCGCGGCCGTCACGTTTACCGAATGAAAGAAGAGGTTACAAGAGATCTTAATTGCTCCTCTCACTTCTTACGCTTATGAATGTCAACTTGACGTCGACAATAAGCTTGTTAAAAGTATTTCCTATGGATCTTCTATTCGACAAAAGCCAGAAAAGCTTTAAATAAGTACATACATACCTACCCAGGAGGAAAATGAAATTTTTGCAAGTGAGAAAGTTAAACACAGCGCGTTTAGCAAAATACTTCTTGTTACAAAATAATTTATTTATCTCTGGTAATGTTTCAGTTGCATGCTTTAAACACTAATATTTGTTTATATTACTTCTTAATATATATTTTGTCTTTTAAAGTTTGCTTATTTTTTTATTTATTTATTTTTCTTTTTGTTATCTAAAATGCATACTTTTAAAAGCTATTTGATTTTCCATTATTTAACTTAATTACACTACATACGCACGCACATACCCTTAATAAATAGTTAATGTAGAAATATAGTAGCAATATGTATTTATGTATGTATATAAATAGCTTAGTATATATGTGTGTATATTATATATAATATGATTATCAGAATGCATATGTGTTTCATTACAGTTAGCTGCATTCTTTGAATAAAAAAAAATGTAAGAAAAAAAGAGTTGGCTAAAATTTTATATTTTTGTGTGTTTTCTGATTTTTTTTTTTTTCATTGTTTTTAAACTATGCAAATACAGTTATAGGCATATGTCCTCGACGCGATTTTTCGGTCAGTTTATGTCCAATTTCATTGAGATTTGTATCTAAAATATGTATATATCTAATTTGTTCTAGCTTTATGCAATGATAATAGACACAATGTGTATACAATTTATAAATATGTATGTACAAATACATTTGCATTAAGGTCTACAGTTAAGCCTAGGCAACTTATGTGACTAAATCAGTGTAAAAGATTTGATTTTTTTGTTTTATTTTTTTGTTAAAAATATTTTTTTTTTCCAGCAGTTTCTTTTTTTTCACCTATGCAGCGTAGCATTCTTTGTATTTGTATTGTATAATATGTTTGTTTGTATAAAAGGTATGTATGTATAATATTTTGTTCATTTTTGGATATATTTACTATTTGATTTTTGTTTTTGCTTTTTTACTTTTTTACTTTGTGGTGCCTACAGGGAATATAGTAAAATGCTACTACATATACATATATGTATATATATATATATATATATATAATTCGTTTGATTAAAACTTATCCCTGATATTGACATTTATTTTCGAGTACAAAATTAATCTTTGCAATATTTGCAGGAATGAAAAGTTTCGACAGTTTTGTTGCAATGTGATTTGTGTGCTTATGGCTATGTAAAAGTGTGTAAAAATATATGTATGTATATGCTCATTATATGTATGAATATGTTTGTGTTAATTTTGATCAAATACACAACGACTAAAATGTTTGCAAGTATTTCAAAAAAAAAAAAAAAAAAAAAAAAAAAAAAAAAAAAAAAAAAAATATTTCACATATGTGTGCATATATAAAATTATGAAAATACAGTTTAATATATATATGCATTAAAAAATATATAATAATTTTCGACAAAAAAAAAAAAAAAAAAAAAAAGCTAAACCATTCTAATTTTTAAAACTAAAACAAGATTAAAAAATTCCTAAATTCCTCGAAAATTTCTTTAAATAAAAAGAGAACCATCGCATTCAATTTACTATTTACTTAAACATAAATATTCATGCGCCCATTATTTATTAGAGACATCTGACGATACACCAATAATAGCAATGCAACGGCATTGCCCTGGTCACCGCTGTCGTTGCCCAACCACTTTGTGTCACCTTCACTCAGGACAAACCGCCGCCGCCGTGCGTATTCCATTGTACTTCGCTCATGGAGGGTAGTGTTTGGTGCATTTGATGGCTGGCTGCTGTATTGCTGCCAACAACACCGCCACCACCATCACCGGGTGAATGTGCCACATTGTTGTTGTTGTTTAAGCCACCTAAATTATTATTGTTGCCACTCAGACTACCGGCGTTATTATTGACATTATTGCTGCTTGTCGCTGTTGTTGTGGTCGCATTGCGTGTACGCATAACATCCTCCGCCTGTGTACAATGCGGTCGTGGACCCGGCTCCGGTGTGTAGGTGAATGTCAGACCCGTCGCGTATATAATGCCATCGTTACGTACCAGCGAGATTGGCACTTGCGTTGGTTGTCGCACCTAAGATAGAGGAAAATTAAAAAGTTTTCAATAAAATTGCAAAATAAAAAAATTAAATTATAAATAAAATTATAAAATAAAAAAAATAAAATTTCAAAATAAAAATTAAAATAAATAATTACAAACCAAAAAATATAAAATAAAAACAGATAAACTACATTAAATAACAAAATATAAAATAAAATAAAAAAATATAATCAGAAAACAAAAAATATACAAATTACAAAATAAAAAGAATTAAATTACAAATGAGAAAAATAAATTAGTTAAATAATAACAAAAATTCCAATAAAAATATACAAACAAAAATAAATAATTATATAAAAAAAATACAAAATAAAAAATAAAATAAGAAATTACAAAATTAAATAACACCAATAAAATAACAAATAAAAAAATGAAATACAATATGAAAAAATAACAAAACAAAAACAGATAAAGTACATTAAATTACAAAATAAAAATGATTACAAAATATAAAATAATATCCGAAAAGAAAAAATAAAACAAAAGTACAGAGTAAAATTACAAAATAAGAAGAATCAAATTACAAATGAAAAAAATAGTAATTAAAAAATAACAAACTCAAAAATATTAAAAAAAAAATTAAAAAATGAAATAAAATTGCAAAATAAAAAGAATTAATTAAAAAAGAGAATTCAATTAAAATAAATAATAAAAAAATTAAATTACAAGAAAAAATGCAAAGAAAGAAAATTACGAAATAAAAAAACAAAGTTACAAAATAAAAAAATATAGTCGGCCTTGTTTATTTTTATTTTAAATTCTAAAATTAGCACAACACCAAATAATTAAAAATTGAAAAATAAAATAAATACTATTTTTTTTATAAAATATAAAACGAATTTCCAACTCACCCATAACCATTCACCACGAAATTGTGAGATCTCTGGTACCACACACAAAAGCGTTTCCGTGCAGCGATACATTGTTTCTGCTTCCACATCACCGAACCAGACTTGTAAATGCGGCGTAAAATTATCACCGCTCAGTTCCAACATTGCGACATCACCGCCACCATTCAAGTTCAGAGAATTAACAATTGGCACCGGTGTGACGGGAGAGCTGTGAAAAAATCGAATTAAATATTAGAAGATACATAAAAATTAGCCTAAAATTACTCAAAAACAAACAATTATATTGGGTAAATTAATTAAAATAAATTAAAATTCTCGCTCCCACTCACCCCACAGGACCCATTCCTTCGTAGAATTGATATTCTGCTTTATCGGTTGAGATGATTGTCCAACAGGCGCCGTCGTTTATCATCTCCTTATTTGGTTCTTTTGGACATGGCGTCGCTTGGAATTGAATGATTTTCTCTTGTGACAAGCACAGATACATATGATCCGTGTCCTTCATGTAGAAAGCACATTTATGCAGCTGCGATACAGGATCGTCAGCCTCCAATAATGCCATTTGTTTATCTACTTTGCGTATGATGAGACGTGGCAGCGCCATACCCGTCACAGAGCACACCAATTTCACCGTCGCTCCATAATGAATATAGCCATCGCGCACCTGAATGGGAGAGTTGAGGTGAAGAGATTAAAAAAAATTTGAACAAAAATATAAATTTTTATAATAAAAAAAAGATCAGAAAATGTAATAAAAATTAATAATAAATTTAATAAAAAATAATAAAAAATATAATAAAAATAATGATAAATAAAATAAAATAATTATAAATAAAATAAAACAATAATAATGAAAATAAAATAGTAATAAATTAATTAAAATAATTATAATTCAATTAAAATAATAAAGAAAATAAAATAATAATAAATAAAATCAAATAATATAAAAATAAAATTGGAAATCTTATATATTGCTTAATCTAAATTGACGTAAAATAAGGTAAAATTATAATTTTAATAAATTAAAAAAATATAAAATCCACATAATGACAGGATTTTATCCGCAAAATAAATAGTAGGAATTATTATAATTATATTATTGCATAACAAATTTAATTAGAAACTAATATATTTATTAAAAAGTATACACACAATAAGTAAAAAATATCTACATATATGTAGAGGGAATAAAATGGTTAAAACTGCCAAAAAGTAAATATAATAAAAATATATAGTGATTTTAGTAGAAATATAAAGAAAATCTTTTAAAATAACGAACAAAAAAAAAATAAAAAATTAAATTGGTATTTTGTAACCGAATTTCCGGCGGAGGTTACCCTCCAATTTGTGATTATAGTCTTTTTTATGTTTTTTTCCAACATATGGGGGGACCTAAACTAAAGTCACTGCATTTTTTCCATGTCAGAAATACACTCGAAGGTGCGACTGCAATTATAATAATTAATTTTCTATAATTTTGTATGTTAGTCGGACCAGGACTCGAATATTAGTACCTACGTAATGCTAATCACTCGGCTATTGCGGCCGCCGAGAATTAAATAATTAATATCTTAAAGATTTAAAGAATGGATTTACGAAACTGTCAAATGACACTTGCGAACAAATTGAAAATTGCTTAAAGGTAATGAAAAAAATTTTTTTTTATAAAATATTATAAATATAAACAACAAAAAAAAGATTAAAAATATCAAGAAGAAATAAAAATTTATTTCAAAAAACCCCGACACCCACCTGAAACTCCTCCGACTCCGATTCATTGTCATCCAACAGATGTATCGTGAAAGCACCCCATTGCGTCGACGAGGCATGAAAGTGTCCATTTTCCACATGCAGGTAACGCGTTGAAACGGTTTGCGAGCGTAAGCGATTAAACAACGCCACATTCGTGCCACTCGCTATACACAGATCAGCATTCTTCAACGATTGCTTCTTCTTCGACGGTTTCGATATGACTTTAATGCGTTTCGAATTGAAGACGCCAATGTCATGGCCATTGCCATAGAACATTTTCACCGAAAGCATAAAATGTTTTCGTTTATCCGAATCAGAAATGAAAAGCGTCTTAGCGGCACAATACTGTTTGCCATTCAAATCCAGTTGCTGCATATCCTGATCCGAGGACCCAATGCCAATAAAGGCACACAACTGCGCACAGTGCTCACCCTCGCCTTTCTGTAGCATTTCCTCATAACGACGACGCCAACCGCTGCCAAAGAGATAAATGCATGGTGGTGGACAGAAGAAACGCTTTTCATTGCCATATGACTTTTGCGCCACCTGAGAGGGTAGAGAAAGAAGAGAAAGAGTTGTAAATGAATAGTGTTTTACAAAATTTAAGGAATTAAAAAAAAAAATTTAAAAAAAAAAAAATTAATAAATAACAATAAAAAATTAAATTTTTTCCTTTGCACATTTTTTGTGTTTTATTAACGGAAACCACAAGAATTCGAAATGGACAAACAACAAAATTGCAAATCAATAATTGTAGAAAAAATGCGATCACCGCGCGGTTTTTCATTTAACTACCACAACAAAAACAACTAGAAAAAGCCTAAGCAGCACTGAAGTATGCGAAAAAAAAAATTCATTTGTAAATCATTCATAGCTACATATTAAATTACAGTTCATTCAAATTTTTTTTTTTTGTTTTTTATTTTTTTTTTTTTTGAAAGTCAGAAACAAATTTATTGGCGCTCGACATACTCGGACCGCGAGCCATTCGCAGCATTCTAATAAAGTAAGAAATGCATGCTGCGGTTATTTATTTTCATACACAGGAGTATGTACATAGATATATAATATATTTTGAGTTGCGGTTGCACGAATTGTCACTAATCAGCCAAGTAATCGGACTAAAAAGTGGACCAACAAACATATAGAAGAAGTCAATTGCCGTTGCGCTAAACCGCTGACGTTTTGCTATTGTAGGAATCTACGAGTCATAGCCCTTGGCTGGGTGCTAACTGATTGATTATTATTAGATTGTGCTATTTGTTGCTGTTGCTGCCACTTGTTGCCGCCACATCCTTCACACTTGGCTGCTTGTAAAAATTGTAAGACTGTAGGTGTTGACGTCGCCGCGTGTTTTCCTGCTGGTGCTGTTGCTACTACTGCATTATGCTGTCCAATAACCAATGCAATCAAATAATTGTATTTAATTAATGAAAATTAAAATTACTGTTTTGTTTTTTTTTTTTTCTTTTGTTTGTTTGTTTGATTTTTATTGTAATGCGGTTGATTTGTCTATTTGCGCTGTTGTTGTTTTTTATAATTTTTTTTTGTACTGCTGCATGCTGCATTTTTGATTGATTTTGGTTGCAAATTTTTGTCGCTAATTGCTTTGTTGCGGTTTACTTTAATTTCTGACGATTTGTGTTTTTGTGATTTGAAGTTATAATTTAGATTTGATTGGAGCGGATGGATGATGAGGCATGAAATGTACTTGCAATTAATTGTGTTGCATTGTATCTTTTTTGCTTACGGGTCGTAATCGGCGATTGTGTTGGGTAGTTTTATTATATAAGTTAATTACTTGAGTGGGAAAAAATTAATGTTTGATTTTTTTATTATTATTGGAGTAGGTACAAGGTCAGGCGTAAAATTAGTAGAACAATTAAAAGACGTCAATATAACTAAGGTAAAGCAAGTTGTTAAAAACTTCTTTATGCGATTTATAAAAACAAAAAAGTTAATTAATATTTAAATTAGAAAATTTTAAAATAATACACAAAACTATGGAAGCAACAAGCATTAAGGGGTTACATAGGTCTTGAAACTTCAAAAATTATTTTTTTTGATAATTTTTTGTACAAAAGTACAAAATGTCAGGAATATTTTCACCCAAATTTCAAGACGATCGAGACGAAACTGTAGAAATTAGTGAGTTTTATTACCCGCCGTCTTTGTAATGGCTCGACCGATGGCGAAACTTTAACGACTTTCTCAACGACTATTGAAGCGATCGAGTTCTAATTTTCCACACTTCTTTCAAGCATGTTTTTGTTGTTCCTGAACGAAGGATTTATATTATCTTTGATTTCAACTCATTTTACAAGCCAATATGGGCCTAATTTTATGCAAAAAATAGAGGTTTTTTGTAAAAAAAAAAAACCACAAAAAATTTAATTTTTATTTTTTTATAATTTGTCTTCGTACAGGGACATGTAATATTCACCTATTTTAAGAAAAAAAATTGGATTTTTGATTTCAGATAAAAATTGAAAAAGTTGCCATAACTACCGCGAAAGCACTTTCTTGTGGACGGTCTACTTCACGACACTGCCAACGCTTTAACTAATACTATTTTTCGTTAAAATTTTCATTAAATGTTTTCCACATATTGTACTTTTATATGTAGAAAAAAAAATTGTAAACTTTATCTAGTATCTTTTAAAAAAATTAGAGAAAATCAGCTTTTTTTTGGACTTCAAGACCTACGTAACCCCTTAAGCGTGTTTTAATTTGCGATACACTGTGCTCACTATCAATATTTTTTCCATTCTTTAAAGTACTTATGGAATCTTTTTGTGAAGAAAATGTAAAAAAGTCACCGCAAATAGCCATTAATTCTGCAATCTCTAGGATTTCGAGTCATTAAAATTGAGGAAAATAATAAAATAAACAATTTTTTTCGATATTTTTGTAGACGAAGGATAAGCATTATTTAGTTGATTTTGATTTATGTTGCTCTTGTTGTTGTTATTGTAACCGCAAAAAAAATTTCTCAAAGAAATATTTCGGGAATGTTGCAGGAGTGACAGTCATTGGCCGAATAAAAAGTCCGAGTCGTTCCGGTATAAAGAACCGACTGTCGCGGGCTATTGGATTTTAGTCGCCTCTTACGACAGGTATGCCTCACCACGGGTAAATTCTTCAACCCCTAACGCGCAGAAGTTGATTTTGATTTATCGTTTTCTCTACATTTATGCCGAAGTGAAATGAATGTTCGAATTACGCCATTAAAATAATAACATAAATTCACAATTTGTCATATACCGAATTCATTGAAGTTTAAACTTTTTTAATATGTAAATATTATATATCACCCCTCTAAGCAATTTTTCAACACAACGAATCTCAGTTTAGTACAATTACACAAAGGCTTCCAGTGAAAGAGTAACGAAATTGGTATACATATGTAAGTGCAGTATAATTTTCTGATTTAAAAAAAAAAATAGGTTCTTTTCGTTTTTACATAGGAAAATGGAGGAACCCCTTCGAAAATAGCGTTGAGCTATCACAGAGGGATTTTGGATGTTTATATTTATGTTGGTGGTATTACTCTGCAGTATAACTTGTAATAATATTCTATGGCACGCGTTTGGACAAGAGTCCATTTTACAAGTCTATGCCAATAGCAATAACAGTGTGAGCACAATAACTATCAAGAGCCGCGCACGGGATTCGGATAGCTTCATTATTGTCAGAAAAAACAATCATGCAATTTTGCAGGCTGTTTCATAAAATTCACCCATATCCTTACAGGCAAACATTGGTGCATTTTTCTCTACTATTTTTGTGCCACTAAAAATATATATATATAAGCAATCCGGTATTAATTTATGCAGTTGAATTGTAAATAACTCTTACCTTGGCATGTAGAATCACAATGACCATGTCGTTACGTTCGCGCATATAACGCTCCATTGCATCGCGAGTCAATTTTTTATCCTCAATATGTGGCCGGTATGGCACTCCAACTGCATTAGAATTCAAACCGGTAGACATTAGTGGAGCACAACCGCCGCTGTTGCCAGTATTCAAACCACGCGGGAGCATAGCAAGATGGTGTTGTTGTTGCTGCTGCTGCTGTTGGTGCTGTTGTTGCTGATGATGATGTGGCGAACTAGGTGGCAATAAACCACCACCACCACCCATACCGACGACGCCAGGTGCATGATGCACCGGCGGGCTGGGCGGCGTTTGGGCATAAGCACCGCCAACACCCGCAAGTCCAAAGTGGGGCATTTGGGACAATGTTGCAACAGCTGTTGATATGGCGGCAGAGTTATGTGAATGTATTGATGAAGGTGGTGATAGCGAATCGTTCAGATCGTGTAAATGTCCTGAATGATGATGAAGTAATTGCTGATGGTGTTGATGCTGATTCTGATGTGCTGGTGAATGTTGCGGCTGTTGTTGTTGTTGTTGATGATGATGATGATGGTGGTGCCCGTTGACTAAAGTGCTAATAGCTGTGGGGTTATACTGTTCCAAGTGTTGCTCCAATGCTGTTGCGGTGCTACTGGGAGGGGTGCCAATATGGTAATCACTATAACTCTTCATTTAGCAATTGTATATGCGACGCTGTGGCAGGCAATTAAGTTTGGTAGCGTGCACAATTCCATGTTTGCACAACACTATAAGCGATAAGACGGCTAATTGAACTTTCTATAAAATGTTTGGATATATTTTTATTTTCCGCTGTGTAAAAGTTTGGCAAAGTTGCATTTAAAAATTTGGCACTTGTGTTACTGTGTATAATATTTGTGAATGATTCGCGGGTTTTGTTGTTATTTGCACAATATTTTTTTGGATATATTTTCGAAATTTGTGTTTTAAGCATTAAAACTAGTAAATTCTTGTATTAGACTAAATACTCCTTTTTATTTGTTTGCAAACACGATAATATGTATATTTTTAATGGCAGCAAAGCGTTTTGCTAAAACAAAAAACAATACAAAACTGCACACAACCCAACAACAATAATGCACAGTGGCGACGAAAGGAAGAAGCAGCGCGACCGCAAACTGACAGATGTTCACACTCCCATTCGTTCTATTTGTTCACAATTGTTTCACATACAAATTGCATTCAACACAAGCGCCGGATAATTCATTTCACATTAAATCCTTTTTATGGTCACCACTTCCTTGTATTTAACACACCTGAATTGTCAATTTTTCAACTTCTGCGAGCTTAAGTTTATTTAAATTTCAAAAGTTATTTTCATTTTAAAGTTAAAACACCGACTGAGCGCTCTACAGTTGACTCGCTGATTTTTGTTTCGCTGTTAAATTCGTTTCATTCCCAGTTGGACGCATTGCCAACGACCAATGCTGCGACTTTCAGTGAAAAGGGAATTATATTGTCACAATAAGGGGTAAAATTTAGATCTATGATAAACATTTTGTAATATGTGGTATATCTCATTCAATATAAATTACTTTAATATACATATTATTTTATGATAATTAACTTTATATTAAAATAGATGTATATTTCATTGAATACACTAGAATATCTGTGTTACTCAAAATAATTACCCTTTTAATAGCAGAAGAATTAAAGCAGCACTGCTGTTGAGTTGACTGCGAGAGAGAAAACGTAAACGAACGATGTCGACGCTAGCAGTTTGGATCGACGTCGCGTCGTTAACCGTACCATTTGCAATAGCAGCATTCATATTCTCACGCTCAGCAGCGACGCAAGCGGCGACAGTGCCGTCACCTGTTTGCTTCTCGTTGTTTTCCCACGGTCAGCGGCATTTCTTATTCGCGTTTCGTTGCTTCTTTAATGCGTGGATGCCTCGGTGTAGAATAGAGTTAAGTTGTGTGTGTGTGGTGTTTGTTTTTAGTTTTTTTTTATAGACATAAGCGCAGTAAATAGTGGATTAATAGTTGGTTTAAAACAAATTGAATATGCAAATGTGAAGATTTATTGTAATAATTTTAGACATAAGTGATTTCGATGATTTGATAATTTAAAGTGTTGAATTACTCTTCAACGAGTTAACGAAAAGATGCTCCATGCATAGCGACGGAAGTGGCGCGCATTAATTACATGTAAATTAGAGCGGAAGTATCATTGTTGATAGAAAGGAAAGGAAGAAAGCTTAAGCGCGGTATGTATGTATGTATTGTATTCTATGTATGTATTGATTTAGTAAAACATTTATAAATGTTTATACTGATTAGAAAATTTTAACAAAATTTCGAAAGTACCGTTATTCATTCGTTACTCTTGCCAAAGCGTTCAGTTACAGAAAATCGCTCGTTGAAACGAAAACCTACAAGATTGCTCGCTAATTTTATGTTTAGTATGAATGTTGGCATTCTTAGTTGTCATATTAAGACTGACATCAGCGCCGTTCAAGAAAAACGACGGACGGGGTAAAAACACAAGAAGGCTCCTGATGCCAAAGATGGATGAGGTGACTAAAGACTAACTCACATCTGGGCGCTGCAGCCACCACGATATTAACGCCAGGGTGATCGAAGAAAGTATCTTCGGCGCAGGAGTCGGAAATTCCAGCTCTCATATCGAAACAACGCTTTTCAAACACTGAATACATCCAATCGACTTCGACTTGGACTCATGCTTTCCGAGGGTATTCATCAGCAACTCGATATAAAGGGGATATGTGGAACGAAATAATATGAGATGCAACACTGGGAGATGGTGAGACCGAGTCCCCAATCGATGGTCATAGGAGATACCTGTATTTGGTATCTCTGATAAACTTGTACGCCTGATCTCCGTAAATTGATGCTGAGCACCATCAGTTCTGCTCTCTCCAATGTAGATAAGAAAGAGTTCTGATAGTGAACGAGTACAAATCGGAATATCATTCGGATTTCACGTCTCTCCTGACAGTAATAGCTTCGTGGACGTGGTTAATTTCGTCTACCTAAGACCCACTGAGCCTAGAAATCCAACCTAGTACCACACGTTCGAGTTTTGCCTAAGTAAGCAATTGAAAAGCAAAGTCCGCTCTAGAAAAACAAAAATAAAACACTCAAGATTGCACGGCTTGTACCCTGACAATGTACGAAGAATCGGGAAGTTGGGAAGTTTTCGATCTGTCCTTAATAGCGTCGTGAGCACCGTGGATAATACGCCGATGCGTTGACTGAGACACGCGGCGACAATGATCTGGTTCTGTGAATAAACAGGTAGTGTCTACGCTCGCTACACTATAGTTTCGAAAGTTCTCTAAGCAGCACCTTTGAGTGGAGGGAAGAGAAAGGTTTCATCTCCACTGGAAAAATCCATTGAAAAAAAGACTGAGCTTCACTTATTTTATCGAGTTTACGGTAAATAACGGGTTAATTCGGCTATAAGCGCGTAAACAAAACCTCGTATATAATATTAGAAGGGAAAGGAATGTATTTCGGAAAAGGGACCTTAAAGTTGAAACTTTGTTTCTTTTTCGCTTACGTGCATACATACACGTATATTTATACACATATATATGAATATTTAATTTGATACCGTAATAACTTTATTTTTTGTTAAGCAACTAAATATATTATAAAATATTCATGCATACATATATAGCCCTCAAAAGTCGGGCCGTAGAAATGTCTTTGCAATCAACTATACATACTTATATATGTATGTATGAACGCTGAGTGTTCATAATTGCTAAAAATTCCCACGCCATATGAAATCAATAAGTGTGTTAATATATCACCAGTTGATTGAATTTTATGCCTTGTCTTACATTTTAAATTCTCCTACAAATAGAAGTTTGTAAGGAAAGGACCTTTGAAGAAATTATAAATACACAACGTACAAGGTTATCCATTCGGTGGTTCGGAAAATAAATGTAAATAAAATGTATTTAAAATTATTTTATTTTTTTTCATGAAACTCTTTTTTAAAAAGTTTGAACCTTGCCATTATATGTGAAAAACTACATCATTCAAATTTCCGTCTCACGATTCCGACCCGTTTTGGGTAATTTTCGACCACGTTTTGGCACATATTATGTGGTATCTCAGCCATAACTTGAGGAATTGAGGTTTTCAAGTCTTTAAAAGTTAAAGGTTTAACCGCATAGGCACGATATTTCCCGTTAACCCAGAAGGAAAGTCCAATGATGTAGAATCTTACAATTCTGGTGACACATTGACATCGCGGCTGAGAAATTTCTCTCACTCATGCTGTAAGCCATGTCGTCAAATTCTTGTTCTTCGATTGAAGACCAAAAAAAATTTTATTAATTCGGTTATCATAGGACAATAACACTCCGAATTGCCAGTGACAGTCTCGCTGTTGTCGTTTTCAAATAAGAAATGTCCAATCTCACCTCCGAACCAAAGAGATCACTATACAGTAAGTTTTTTTTTGAGTGTAATGGACTTTCTTCAATTATTTAAAGATACTCGGGGCTCCGAATAAGACAATTTTAATCATTTACATAGCCGCCGAGTGAGAAATGAAGAAAGTATGGTTCGAAGAATGTTTTTATTGTTGTTGTAAAGAACGGGCTGGTTAATCTAAATCATCGATGTCATCTATTGAGAGGTCCAAACAACATGGTGTTTCGACGGGTTAAGATGAGAGGGAAAATGGAGTTAGTTGAGTTGGTTTTAAGGGCCATGCAAAGAGGTGGTTAGTACCGTATCGGGGACTCTTTACATGCGAGACATACGTTAGGTATGACGGGGTCGAGTCTCGATGAGTAAGTGTATAACCTAAACAATATCTAGATCTAAGTTGCGCCAGCATCACGTGGGACTCTAGAGTCAGCTCGAGCTCTTCAGGGAGACAAGGCTCTTGAAGGTATTAACTGACTTCAAGTTCTGCAAGTCAAGTACTCTCGTTCTGCTGACTTTAATGGTTATGTATAGAGTGTATGTGGTTGATGATGTCCAAATGCAAAATACGTCATAATGTGGGGTCAGAATGTCCAGGCTCTCGACAAGGTCGGGAAATAAACAGATTCGAGTCTTTGGCTGTACTGTCATTTACCAGGAGTGTAACCATGAAACCGTATGGAACTTGTCTATAGGTTGCGCTAGATTTCCAACTCACAATAGATCGAGTTTCATTCGGCAGCATTAGTTTTTTTTTAGAGATACACATGTCGATTACGATTAGCGTACAGCACTACTGTGAATTGTGACTGGCGATGAAAAGTGGATATATTTCGAGAATTCTAAGCGCAAAAAGTTATGGGTTACTCCGGGTGAACCATCAACACAGACGGCTAGACCAAACCGCTACGGACGAAAGACAATGCTGTGTGTTTGGTGGGTTCAGAAGGGCGTAATCTACTACGAGCTGCTGAAACCTGGGGAAACTGTCAATACTTAACGCTACCGACAACAAATGACCGATTTGGATTCTTAGAGTTTTGAGTGAAAAACGACTATAATACCAACAAAGACAAGACGGGGTGACTTGGCTTGCATGACAATGCACCAGCACACAAAGCAAAACAAGTCCAGGAAACGATAGAGTATTCAGCACGCGGCTTACTCACGGGACCTTGCCCTATCCAATTACTACTTGTTTGTATCGATGTAACACGCACTTGCTGAGCAGCAGCGCTTTACTTCTTACGAAGATGTACGAAAACGGCTCGATGACTGGTTTGCCTCTGAAGAGCAACAGTTCTTTTGGCGCGGAATTCACAAATTGCCAGAAAGATGGGAAATATGTATAGCCAGCAAAGGACAATACTTTGAATAAGTTACTTTGTATCATGTCATTACAATGTGTTTTCCTGCACAAAATCTCTGGTTTCATACTTACACATCAAGTACAATAACGTTATTTGAGGTGGCACAAAATAAAATTATGATGCTCAGGTCTTACAATATCTGTAACCGATCCAGTCTCTTTACATTTTTTCTTACATTTTCCCATTTGCTTGAGTAGTTTCACGATTATGTCCATCATAGTCTCCCCTTAGAGTGACTTTTAACTAAAACAAACTAAAACAAAATACAGCACTATACTTTGGAAACCACAAAATGGGTAACCCTCTACTAGACGATGTATGTTTGTACTTGTTTGTATATGCACATCTATAAAAAAAGTTCCATGCGTCCGTTCACTATTATTACATTTTAAATAATTAAATCATAGCGCGGGAAAGTGTGGACAATTTGTCATCTGCGACAATTGATTTGTGATTATCTAACTACCTTAGTGCGCGGTCAGTTGAATTCTTTTTTAAATATAAAAAAAATTAACTTTATATATATGAACATTCATTGATTGAAAAATTTTGTGTAACGTTAATATCGAAAAAAAAAAACAGTTCTTGGAACAGACGATATGCCGTGAAATTCACAACCCTTTTCATACACCAACACAAATTATTCCAACGTTTGAAATTTTCCACCCTACTAATAATACTCTAAGCATCATAAATCGTCCGAAAAATCTTTCTCTCAGAAACTTCCAAGAACGACTGATCGGAAGTCGAAATCGCTCACGCGTCAGCGCCTGTCTGTAATATGCGGTCTCGCCAATATTCCAAGCATCATAAATCATCCGAAAGATCTTTCTCTCAAAAACTTCTAAGCACGAGTCGTCGGAAGTCGAAATCGTTCATGCTTACTCGTATAGTAAGACATATAGTAGAACGAGTATGAGGAGGGTTGAAAAGCTTTGTCCTGATATGTCGAGAGAGGTTATTACTTTTCATTTACCTAATCAGATTTAAAAAAAAATGATTCTACGTAGGATTTCAAGACTCAAAGGCAGCACTAAAAGGTGCAATCGAAGCCGATCTTAAAATCGTCAAATAGAAATAGGCATCTTTTTTTTTGCTCTGGTCATCATACATTTGCTATTTTTATTTTTCATTCACATTTATTTATTTTTGTCTTTTTTTAATCAATTAGTGAAGTTAATTTTTGAAGCTGTGCTTCCAACCCCTACACACAATACACAAGAAGCTCGATTTTTTTTTATTAAAACTTGGCTCTCCTTGGGCCGAAAGGTTTATCCACTAGTATGAGCTTCTGAACACGAATCCATCCCCTTAAGCCCGGGTTCCCCCAAAAAAACGTGTTTTTTTCAAACAAATTTTATTAAAAAAAATTATCTATATATATATATTTAGAAATCAATCAATCAATATATATATATATTCAAAATCAAAACGTTTTCTTATTCTGCATCACCTCGGCTATGACCAGAGGTTAGGCTAGTTTGCGGTGGCAACCGATCTTACAGACCGGATTCTCTTAGGCCTGACTTAGACCCATTGTGATGCTACAAAAACTTAAACCATCAGGCTTAATACTCCATCCATTTTGATTTTTAATTGAATCTCATAAGATCCATGACCTTGACGTCAGCAGTAGGGTCCCAAAATTACGAAACCTCGCCCTGCTTAATGCAGGCCGGTCGCATAAGAGATGGATGATCGTTTCCTCCTCTTCATCCTTCTTGCATCTTCTGCAGTATCTTCTGTATAAGTTTGGACATGTCGCCTGTTTTTAAGGAGTACATATCTCGTCCATATGTGTCTGGTTTGCGGCAGGTTGTGATGTCATTCCACCTTGTAGTGGCTTGCTCATATATAAAGTCCTTGAGAAGCAGTTTGTATGTAGCAAAAGGCATACTAATGCGTTCTTTATCGGGACGAATCTGCTTGGTCGTACCCCGCCTAGCAAGTTCATACGCATTACAGTTTCCCTCGATATCCCTGTGACCCATATGAGAGACAGGATTTTCTCTCTTCTCTCTTCACAAAAAAAGGCGGATTTTTACCCTTTTTCTAATTTAATTATTTATAAAATTTTTAAATAACAATGAACACTTTCCATTGTAGTTCCGGCCATAGAGATAACTTTGAGGAGTAAAATGGCGTTTAGTTCATATTGATAAGCTTAATAGGTTCAAAATAAGAGTGGCACCTAGTTAAGAAATACGTAGTTTCGAGAAAAATGCGATTAAAGTTTTTTGTTCCTGAGGATTTTCCGCTTGACGCGCTTCGCTCTCTCCTCTTTTATACTTACTTCTTGACCTTGCGGGCCTTCGAGACTAAATCGATATTATTTCTAAGAGTATTTTCAAGCAATTTATAGAGAAAACCCTTATTAAGCTCACTTAGGCCTACTAGCCGGTTGTGTTACCTTATTTAGACCAGTGTAAAGATGACATTCTCACCCTTCTAGATGCTCAAATTGAAAAGTAAATTCTGCAAAGCATTCGAAGTACCACACTGAGAGCTAGGCAGTGTCAAAGGTAATGCTCTACCGGTTCCTCCTCACCCATGCCTCAGCAGCTTTGACAGAAGTTTCGTTAGCGAATTACATTGGTTATCCTTTCACCGTGAGCGTGTTCAGATATTTTGCCGGTTGTGAGGTTCATGCACACGCTGCTTAGAAAGTGTAAATTCTTTGTTGCCTTCTATTCAATCACTAGTTACACTGTATTTGACCCTACTTCCAAATGTTGATCGAATCATTTCTTTTGCCGAGGACAAAGGAATGCCCACGTCGTATGCCGGATTAATCGTAGTTAGGACTGTTCTTTTTATATCTCGCTCTACGCTCTCACAGTTCTCTTAGCTGCCTCGGTACTCGGCAATCCAAACATCGCTCGCAAGCAGAAAAGATTCAGTTTACACCAAGGCAAATTCAGATAAGGCGAAATTTGTAGCACAGCTCTTTTAATCTTCTACAGACTGCTGGATTTGCAGAATATCAGAAAAGACAAAAAATTTAAACAATACGATAATTAATTCAAAGTACGTAATTGCTTTCACTTTGTTGCTGTTTTTCTTCTTTTGCTTTGCTTATGTTATGGCATAAGGGAAGCCCAATATTCGCGCTGTTCGAATTGCGACGATCTGTAGTAAATCGCCTTGGTTGACAGTGCAGAATTGAATAACCACGAAGCGACTTCTATTATTTTAGTTAGTTCTGCTTAAAAGATACCACAGTTCTTCGAGAATCTCTTTTTCATATCAATTACGAGTGGGCTCCATAGCCAACTTCTATCTAGTTCAGAACCGTCGGTAAAAATGAGTTTTTTTGGTTTCTTTGTTTATGCGTGTTCCGAGAACGGTGCATGTCCTGTACTCATGCCTAACCCAGAGGTGAGTTGCGTTACAAAACGGGTCTGAGAATATTGAAGTTGAAAGTCTCCTTCCTATTTGGGGGTTTGGGGCGAACGAAAACAAACATTATTGATCGAAAATCTTATTTAGGTATCTTCAAAACATGCATTCTGAACGCATCAACCGGCTCTTCAGATGTCGAAAAACGTTGACCTCCCAATTAAGTTTTTACGTAAGGGGATAAAAAGAAGTCACTCGGTGCTAAGTCAGGATTAAACGGGGGTTGACTCTTTAAATCGGTTTGAGTGCTCAAAAATACAGTTGTTTCAGTCAATTTGTGAGAGCTCGCATTGTCGTGGCAAAAAGCACACCGATTTCGGCGGTTAGTTTTCCAGATTTCCATTTGCTTGGAAGTTCACTTTCGAACTCATAAGCATAAATACACGGCTCATCATCTGTGACGATGTCATAGACGTATATTTTAGTATTTCTCTTGATCAATCGACATGAGTTCCTTTTTGAATGATTGACATTTTGTATGTGATCCAGCGAGAAAAAATTTTGTTTACAGTCAAATGTTCAGGCAATGTTGAAAGTGGGCTTGTCCCACTAAGGTCTATAGTTGTGATAATCTCAAGATAGATGACACAGTAGATTAGTTTCCAGAACAACATTTGATTTTAGACGACCTTTACGAAATTCGTATAAAAGTGATCAACGGCCCCAATTCACCATATAAACTATGAAACCTTAATGTCGCTTTATCGCCAAATCGCCATTTGGATTAAGTTCATCATGCACCGGTGCTGAGCTAAACCACGTTGAAAGTCGCGCTTGAATGATCGCGATTTAAATCCATTTTTGGCTGTGATGAATAATTTAAGGTGTCGTAATCAATAGAATTAGTGGTCTTAGATCACAACGTTCTGAATATGTTTTCAAATTTTACTATAAAGTTGTCAATCAGCAGATTGCAAGACGAGGGTTGCTAAATCCCGAAAAATCTAAGACAGTCTTCGTATGAAATATATATTTGGAGTTTTGCCAATGCTGACGGGATTTTCGCCCGATTTCCTCAAACAATTTGTGGTGTGTCTTGATGTTTTTCCACCCAAAGGAGGGACCTACAGTTTATATTAAGCCTCTTACGTTATGTCAAAAATACATTTTGAGGGTCAACTAATTTCTCTTACCAAAGCAATTTTAAACCGATTTTTTTGAAATCAACTTTGGTTCTCATCACAAATTCTTTTTTTACGATTTTTTTCGACTAAAAACGGGTACCTCGAAGTGGCATTTTGAGTTTTGGAAAAGGAAAAATGTCGGTCGGAGCCATGTTACTTGCTGTGTTTTCGATTAGCTAAAATTGTCGATGATGATAGCCTTTTAGAATGGTGAATTTTAGTACTTCAAACCGCATTAGTTTTTCTTTCAGCAAATATGGAATTTTTCGACGAAGTATACGAAGACCAAGACCGTTCATCTTTCAGGCAAGAATTATGAATGTACAACAACGCGATAATTAAACAAAATATTTATAAAATTACCTTAATTGACTTTGATGCGGGTTTCTCAATATCGACTCAGTTGAAACTCTCCATTGCATATAAAATTCGTAAATCAAGGTCTCTCCATATTCGAACTTGAGATATTGATCGTACCATTTTTTGTCACTATCCAAATTAGAAGATAAGTGGAAAAATGGTCTACTGAGAAAATGAATAAAAGTAGGTACGCATAATTTGTTTTCCTTTCCGCTTGTCTTTTGGGGTATTTCGAAAAGATATTAGGTTTAAATTAAATAACTCAAAGTCAGATTTTTTATTCTAATTTTATTACGTTTAATCACAGAAATTTTATAATTTCAAAAGCAATACTGTAATTATGGAAGGCAAAAAATTTACATATTAAAATAATTTAAGTAATAAAAAATGGCAAAATTTCTGTACAGTACGCGATACATATTTTTCGGGATTAAGGTTGCTGCGGCTTGTAAATTTTATACACATCAACTCCATTTGAGAGCAAATTCAATGCCGGTCTTGCTTATTAGAAACGGCGTCTTTGATGTATCGACGGGTTGCTTACTTATTATTATGACAGATTTCATATAACCACATTGAAAATTGTAATCCTGGAAAAGTTTAGTAGAAAAAATTAAAAATTATTAATTTTAATGGCTATTAAGAAGTAGGATATCAGTATACTAAATTTATATATTAAAGAATTTTTTTTTAATGAAACCGAGAAGTACTCCACATGTTTGCAAGGGAATTCAAAGCGAAAGCTTTGCTTCCAAAGCTCGGCCACATTAGCCGAGTGGAATAAAAACCCCTCCATGTGTATTTCTGACATGAAATAAAATAAGAGGGAAAAGCTGTTCGGCCTTGCCGAAGTCTCCACATACCTTTTATGGCCTTATCATCATTTAAGATTTAATAATAATTAGTAATAATTTAATATAAATTCTCATATCTGAAAAAAGTGTTTGAAAGGGGTCATATCATGAGGAGGTAAACCGCAGCAAACAGGTACATGTTGAGGATGGAGAGGTTGTCTTGGGCTTTTCGAGGCTCAGATGCGATAGTTTTGCTTATTGAAGTAGCCATCGAGGTAAAAATGGGCCTCATCAGCCATAATGGGTTTTCAATGAAATTTCGTGCTCAATTCAGACAATCTGAGGACCTTGGTGACGAAATTTGCTCCCGCTGGTCTTAAATCTTTTAGCATCAGCATGCTTATTTCGTCGGGGCCGATGGATTTGGAAGATTTCACTTTTGCGATGACCCCCTATTCCCTTGAGAAATCAAGCGCGTCTCTTTATTTTGTCAACCGAAGGACGCAGTGTAAAGAGTCGGCTAAAATACCTCGCTAAAATAGCTCTCTTCGGGTGTGACGAAGAAAAAGTAAGGTCCAATTCCATATTTACATCTTCAAAAGTGACATCTACCGGAAATCCTTTACAAAAAAAAAATGAACGAAAAAATTTTGCAACATTATAAACTTACCTCCAACAATTGACGCACCTGCTGTACGACTCGTAGCGGCAAGTCAAGGTGTATGTTCAGCACGCATTTACGATCCTGTTGCTCGCGTAAACGTTCCGTTAGCTCACATAACCAATCGCGTGCGTTCGGCAGCAAGCTATTGAAGTTCGTGCCCATATAGAGATGTTCCAAGTGTACATTATTATTGATAAGCATAAATAAATCATCGACCCGCAAGTGGCTTTCAAAATATAACTCTCTCAAAGTGTGCAATGAGTATACGTAATCTTTGAGGTTTCTACAAAATAATTTCGCTAAATTTCGTAGCGCTTGTGCTGAATTCAGAAAGAGATCCTGCGTCGCTATATGCGCTTCATCATCATAGTAACGCAGCTCAGTTATTTGTGGAAAGATATTCTTCAACACGACATCCATATCACGTTTAACACACGTTTCGCCCATTATGTGTATACGTAAGAGCTTACGTTTCGTAAAGATTGCGTCAAACCACTTTGCTTCCAACGTATTGCTACACACATAGAGTTCACGTAAATTGGGCAATTCGGCCAAATATTCACCGGACACATATGAACTGTGCAGGTGTAGTATCTCCAAATGGGGACATTTTCGCTGTAATCTCGTTAAATAGCCACCGTGAAATTGTGAGTCATAGCAACGTAGCACACGTAAGGCGGGATATTCAAAGTGAAAGTAGAACGCAAGATCTGGCCTTTTCGTGTAACGTCCTAAATAGCTGGTGAATGCTATATTTGCGGTACTATGCACCGTTAACTCTTGTATATGTGGTGCAATGTAGCCATAGAATATTTGAAAATCCGCCAAGTTGAGTTCATTGCAACTGGCATCATCTTTTGTGGTGAATTTGCTGTATTTTACGCGCCAGAAGTTTTCAACAATTATATCGCAAAAACGTTCACTGACAGCTGTCACAATCAGCTGCTCTTTGACATTTAGATATTGAAATATCTCGCTCAGGCAATCATCGTTCAAGAGGTCGAGCATTTTTGTTGCTTGCTTTACACAAAACTTTTAACACGGATTTAACAATTTTCCACAATAATAAATTTATACACAACAATATGCGCCAATTGGTATTGATACTAATACACAAAATTTACAAAAGTTCATTGTTTATCGTTTTTCATGGCTTTTGCTCCCACACACATTCACGCCATCCCGGCTAAAAATATAAACTAAATGAAACAGCAACTCATACAGTTGATAAACAAACCAGCTCTGTGGACTATAATGCCTATAAAACAATAACAATGTTCATTGCAAGAACAATAACAAATTCGTAATTTATGTGTGGTGAAAAGCTTAATCGCTGGAGTGCATCAGCCGTTGACTTGATAAGCTGGCGAGCTTTTCATTTGTTACAAGCGACCTCTATCGGCAATATAAGGTAATTTTGATAACGATAAGTGAAGGTGAGCAGTTTTTTTTTAGCGCATTGTGGTTTGGATAATGCTAAAGCTTTTGAATGTGAGGTGGCTTTGAAATACATATACAATCGAATATTTTTAATTCGAATCTCATCGAATTCTCGAGTGTTTGCATTATCGAAAGTTTCGAAATTTTTGAGAGAAGAGATGAAACTTCGAGCTATTAAGTATTGATAAGCAATTATTATTTTTTAACTACTATTCTTTTACAATGACAAAATATAAGTGGTACATACATAGATATGTATGTGCACACATTCAAAATTGCTTTGTTTCGAAGCACAAGGCTACTCAGACTGCCCAAAAGGCCTGAAATGCTTTTCATCGTTTGTAGACAGAAGCTTTGTCTAGTTTTTGCTTCAATATCTGACGTATCTGTCAAGGGTGCTGATGAATCGTCCTCGTTTGTATCTGTCGCAAGTAAAATTTGGCCATCGGTTCCTGAACCTTAGACAGCACCATCTTCATACACTCGAACAAAGTCAGTAAAGTTGCTATGTTTGTTGTTGTAGCGGCTCCGTTAACCCCGCTTAAAGACAGGTTAATCAATAATCTCGTTAATCAAACGGGAGGTCCAGGAAACGTGTTGTTTCAACGTGATCGGACCAGAGGGAGATGGTGTTAGATGCGTCGGTTTTAGGGGCATGTAAAGGAGTGGTTCGTGTCATGCGGAGACTCTCTACGTGCAGGACATACGTTGGGTATGCTGGGGTCGAGTCTAGATAACTAGAAGTTTAACCTGCTACAGTATCCACACCTATGTTGCCCCAGTGTCGCGAGGGTCTGTCGAGGCAGCTCGAGCTTTTCGTCTGCAATAGATGGTGCTTTTACTGCGAGTACGCCACTAACGAGAAGGGGGTCTTTGAAGGTGTTAACGGACTCCTGATGGATGGCGTTAAGTGCTTGTCGGTATACCGTCCTGTACAAGGGATTGGTACACGTGTTGCTGGATATTGTCCTTCATGTCTAGTACTCCCCTTCTGTGCCTAGGTGGAGGTTCAGCTTCTATAAGATGCCTATTGGGGTGCTCCCTACGGTAGCATTGCTTGCACAGCAAAGCATCATGCTTCCTAACTCGTAGCATAGATGCTTCAATGTGTAAGTAATGCTCCAGCGACATCAAAAGGTTTTCTGTCGTGGTTCTGAGGACAGTGTTCTGGCTAGACTGAAATTTTTTCATATGCGTCTCGTTCGTCCCCGGCGCCCACATCGGTGCAGCATAGTTAACGACCGGCCGGCCGATCGCTTTGCAAGTTGCCCTCAGGTTTCTTTATCTTCATCCTAGGTACTGCCGGCTAGTGCTTTCAGTATTTTGTTACGGCTTTGGAGTTTTGTGGTAATTGCGGTCGTATGCGGAGTAAAGCAGTGCAGGCTGTCAAGTGTGACTCCCAATATCTTTGGGTTGTTTATGGTCGGAATTTTTTATGTCATCGACCTTAACATCTATTTCGAGGCTGTATTCCTTCATCCAGCTGGTGAAAAGGGTGGCCGAGCACTTCGGCGGTTGGATTTTAAGCTGTCTTGCAGTAAAGAAGTGATACAAGTTTCGAAAAAAGTTCATCAATATCCTGGCTAGACGCCAATATCGAATAACCATCGGCATAAGGAAAGCCTTTCTGGTGGAGGAGGGAGTCTCGAAATATATAAATTTGGCAATAGTGGGTAGAGAACACCACCCTGTGGAATCCTTTGTTTAATTTTCCTTACTCTTGATGTTTCGACTCGAAATTTTATCGATGAATGACACCACTCAGGTAGACCATGATCCACCTCTGCGATCCCGGCATTAATCAGGATACCTCTATGTCCGATTGATGATTGAGTCTGTCAAAAGCTTTTGACAGATCCAGTGCCACCCGGACAGTTTGCCATTGACATTGCCGGCTTTGGTTGAAGCGTTAATTGATGTTGTGGTACTAAACCATGCTGCTGTACTCAGATGGAGAGAGGAGAGATATCAGCCGATATGACTCTCCTTTGATTGGTCGATTTCCCTGTGTTGAGTAGCGGGACCACCCTGCCCATTTTCCACACGTCGGGTAATGTGGTGGTCAAAAGCAAATTTAGGACCTTGGTGAGGAAGTTTGCTACCTCTGGTTCTAAATGTTTTAGCATCAACATGCTTATTTCGTCGGGGCCGATGGATTTGTAGGATTTCGCCTTCTCGATAACCTCCCTATTCCCTGGAGTAATCAAGCGCTGCGCTGGTATTTAGCAGTTCGCGCAGTCGACAGGTTACTCGTCTCTTCATTTTGTCAATCGAAGAAAGCAATGTAAAGAGTCGGCTAAAATAGCTCGCGCATCTTTTCAGGCCCGTCAACAGCCGGTTCTTATCACCGGATTTGACCCGGATTTTAGCTGACCAAGGGCTGTCACCCTTTCGGCGTCCTAACCCCGTCGACGGGTAACAGGAAAGTTGCTGATTTTTCATCATGAATAATTATTGGAAGATTTTTATGATCTTATGAGACCATACTTTTTGAAGCAGTTAAGCGTCGTTAGGAGTGTGATAGCTCTGCATGCCTTGTCAATCAATAAAATAGCCGTCAGAACCGTAATATTCGCCGTTAACTGCTTAACGAGAGATACTAAAACGAGCTTAACAGTTCCTCTGCGATGGAATGTTATAAAATTATGCATGATTCCTTGATCCATTGATTGCAATTAGGTAGTTATATTCGGCAGAGAGAAGTAGAGTTCTACATTGGACAATGTAGGAGGAATGCTGTGGACAAAGTCATTTCATATCACCATTAACTGCTAAAAGCCAATTATAAAAAACTGCTGTCGTCATCCAAACTTTTTTGCTGGCACGATTATCAGTAGAAAACGATCTGACTTCTTTGCAACATCGCTCTTTTATTTATTACTTTTCCCATCACGAGTGGTTCAAGTTTTTCCGCTCTGTCCATATTTATGGCAAGTGAAACTGTCAACCTCTCCCATGATATTTTTCATTTTTAAAAGTAAGCGTCCTGTCTGGTAAACTTTTGAAAGATAGGCCAGTTTCATCAGTAAAAATGTCTCGAAAGGCATCATAGTTTCATAATGAGAGTCTTCGATTTACCATGCCAATCTAAGAAAACTACGTTATTAACACTTCCATTTCACCCACAAATTTTTTTTTTAAATTTGTAAGCCACTCTTCCTTGCTGCCAACTTTTTGATGATTTCTCTAAACGAGAAAATTCACCTTTATTATGATTAAGAGAGTACTGAAATATCATAACATTGCGAAAACAAAGGCTTGGGTACGCTGATACATGCTTAAAAGTTTTAACTTGTTTGCTTTTGATTATGGGATCAATTGACTTATGATTTACGGTAAGTTGGAATTTAGGTTCTCGCTTGGTTACGTGGCGCTGATTTTTTGGTAGTTCGAACGATAAGCATAAAAAATATTGATTCAGTTCATAATATTGAGAGATTTTCTAGGGAACTCGTGATGACTTTGAATTATATCGCTGGTTTGAATTAACTAGGGTCCACTGTATTATACCCGAGCATTCATACAAATGAAATAAAAAAAATAAATTCTTTTTAAATGAATTTTTAATGTGTAATTAAATTTTCGAAAAAATCAGAAAACAAACAACAACATCTGCTTTCGATGATTTTCGTTGACAATATTTATTTGCATATGCGTCTATAGAATACGAAATCTCACGCTTGTAGGTGTTTTTTCGACGAATTTTGAACCAAAAACCTCATATCTGAAAGAATCGGTTGTATAGGAGCATATATTATAGTCGTCTAATTATGTAAAAATTTCAACATTAATGTGTAATTCATTATATTTCACGTTCCTAAATACTTTTTTTTTTTTTTGAAATTCATGACTGAAAACTCGAATTTGAAAAGTCGGTGTAGATAAGCTACAGGCGTTCGATGTGGTCGGTTCGGACAGTGAACGTTTAAATGTACCAATGTATCGGTACACCAATTTTGGTTGAACTATCTCATGACTAAATATATCTCTTCTCATTATGGTACTTACACACTTCGGACCAAAGATAATATACCAATTCATTACATGAATGGCATAAACATTTCTGGATTAATTGGTGGAGTCAAGGCTGATATCTGCAAAATATGGCGAAACATAAGCTTCCTTGACCGCATAATTATGGTAGAGTCCTTTAAAGCAGACGAGTTTGCCAGCAAGGCATAACCAAGAAGATTTTCCTCGTTGGAACACATAAAGTTCCACTCAAAAATTTTACTTATATTATGAACGGGTCTCAGCAAGAGATGGCATCGCCCTGCGTCTTTTAATAAACCAAAAAAAATTGTTGAAAAAGGAATAGATCACGTGTGAGTGAGGATATTATTAAACTAATAGAAACCAACTGTTCAATAAGATTATACAACTTACTTACAGCTTCCATAAGCTCACGTCGAAAAGAAGAGCCTTACCTTTAAGTGACTCAAGGAGCAACAGGAGACTTTTCAATTTGAAATGAAACTTTGATTTCGGATACTGATGCCAGCAGCTATGGAAGAGTTATTAGACAGGTAGGAAGAGCTACATCCAAATGGTAGGGAACCAGGGACAGAGAGAAAATTTAGCTTTGGTCGGATGCATCGCACATATTCACAAAAGCCTGTATGGACAGCAACTCCCAGTACAAATCTTGGTGAATAAAAAGATTTCACAGCTATAACTTCGCAATCGCGCATCGGTCATAGAGATTACAATGCAAACTTTACTCCGAAACTGAAGCCAAAAAACTCATAGTAGGTCTTCAGCTTATCCACCATTCGGAAATTTGGATTAAGTCTGATTCGAAG